GGAATGCTTGTCGCTGTGCTTCTCTACGATTTTCCTGAAATAGTCTGAATGCCGCTAGTGCCAGTTCATGTGTCCAAGGAACAGCTACATGGGGTGTTCCTGAGGCTGCTGCTACATCAGCTCTCTCTTGTTGATCTCGTTCATGTTCTTGACGTCGTTGTTGAACAAACAGGATTGCTTCAGGACTAGTCACTGTTACTTCTGGAAGTAAATCCATCCAAGACTCAATAGTCTATTACCAGTGAGTTGAAATCTAGTCATCCACTTCTGAAGATCCATTGTTCCTCTGTTGAACTTCATGAACTGCATGAAACGGTATAAGAACACGTTCTGGGCACCTTTGATGAAATGAGGTCGTAGAAATCTTTTGAAATAAGCCACTCCTTCATAGGGATCCCTTAGTAATTCTCTATCCAATAGCCTCTTGTATTGTTGAGCATCTCCTTCCAGTCTGTTGCGCAATGCTGGACCACGTTTCTCTGGTTCTAACTCCGTAATGTCACACCAGTCATCAATTGCATCCTCAAAAGCAAAGAAGCTGGTTCGCCCATCATAGGCCGGAGCAACCTTTGTGGTCATCTGTTGCGTCATATGAATCTGTGTATGCTGGGGTGCTCTTCTCATTGCATAAGAGTCATATTGGTTCCATTCATTTGCATCGACAATGTCGAAGTCATCATCATCATAGCCATGGCTTACCATTTCTTGGGCTCTACCTGGAGCTCACCCTCAATGAGGGATCACTGCTCCGCTACCACTTGAAGAGGGGCCCTAGCGTCTACTTCAAGATCAGCTAAGGCGTCTTCCCCAATGACCGCACTCTTTTACTCTCAGCCTGTTGCCGGTCAGTGCTTGTCTACAGGGTTACTCTATATACCTCTTGAGCCTTGAAGGGCGCATATAAATGTGCTCAATACTCATGCATGTACCTATGTAGGTATTAGGTCGAAACAAAAACAAGGGCGCAGCGCCTCCCCCCAAAGCAGAATGCAAGCACCTCTTCTCACATGTTACGTTGCAAGTTTTCAAGAGAAGGTTGGTCATGTGATACTCAGGGATGTAAATACTGTGCAAAATGCATCTTACATGAAAATCAAGTATTTAAAGCAGGCAAAGCAAAAAAAAAAGCAGAGAAGCAAAAAGCAGAGAAGCAAAGAAACAGGAAACGCACAAAAGCAAAACAGCAGAAAGGCAAAGAAGCAGGAAAAGCAGAAAAGCAGAAAAGCAAAAAAAGCAGGAAAAGCAGAGAAGCAAAGAAACAGGAAAAACAGAAAAGCAAAAAAGCAGAAAAGCAGAGAAGCAGAGAAGCAGGAGAAGCAGAAAAGCAAAAAAGCAGAAAAGCAGAGAAGCAGAGAAGCAGGAGAAGCAGAAAAGCAAAAAAGCAGAAAAGCAGAGAAGCAGGAAAAGCAGGAAAAGCAGGAAAAGCAGGAAAGCAGAGAAGCAGGAAAAGCAGGAAAAGCAGAGAAGCAGGAATCCAAAAATAATTCCTAAACCTGATCAAAAAAAAATCCTAAAATAATTAGCCCTCCCCCTTTAAATGGTAAAGTACCTCATTTGAATGCTCGAAATAATTCAGCTATGCCCCTCTAACCATGCTCTTCACACAATCGACCGAATAGTCCCGCACTTTGATGTACATCCCAGCTAGAACCTGGATATGCAACTAGATATAGGTCACAAATATGCCATGATGCACACTTCTCTAAAGTTGTTGGTCATCCATATCATTACATATAGAAATACATAGAAATACATAGGAATACATACATATATACATGTTGCATATACAATATATATATATATATATTCTATGGTGGCTTCAGTGGTTTCCTAAAATAGCCGTCACCTTGGAGGCGCCCAGCTGTCCGCTGGAGGGGTAGAAGGACGAGGCCATGGAGGTGGCCGAGGCGGCCACGCCTCGCTTCCCATGGAGGAAACATCGAAGAAAAATGGTCCAAAAATGGTACCCTCTGGTTATTTAACGTAGCCATAGAAAATCATCATTATTAATAGGTAAACCATTGGTAAACCATCTATAAATGGGTCATTTTCAGGGTCTATGTTTATTTACCAGAGGGTAAAAACTATGGAGAAATGGAGGAAAACTATGGACACAAATATGAACAAATGGTGAGATTCTCAGGAATTTTCGCATGGATTTTGGATTTTCTTTTGTGATGAACATGGGGCAATTTTGCTGAGAAATGGTGAGATTTCAAGGATTTCAACGGGAATTGCTGGTGGAATATGAAAATGCACAGGAATGAACTATATAGTGGTTAGATGTGGTTAGTACCTGTTAATACCCTCTAGCAGTTTGCCCCAAAGGGTATATCATGTATAGTAAACTCCAAATGGATCGAAATCCAAGAAAACATGGATATATATATAATTGATATAATTGATATAATCATGGTGAGATTATCAGGAATAATCACGGAATATAAAATTACTTTACTTCGTGTGATCCCCACCATGACATTTATACATGTTCTTACTGGCACATCTTCTGGCATTCTATCTGACATATCTTCTGACATTCTATTTGGCATTCTATCTGGCATATCTTCTGGCATATCTTCTGTCATTCTATCTGACATATCTTCTGACATTCTATTTGGCATTCTATCTGGCATATCTTCTGGCATATCTTCTGGCATTCTATCTGACATATCTTCTGACATTCTATTTGGCATTCTATCTGAAATATCTTCTGACATTCTATTTGGCATTCTATCTGGCATATCTTCTGGCCTATGATCTGGCATATCTTCTGGCATATCTTCTGGCATTCTATCTGGCAAATCTTCTGGCATTCTATCTGACATATCTTCTGACATTCTATTTGGCATTCTATCTGGCATATCTTCTGGCATTCTATCTGACATATCTTCTGGCATTCTATCTGGCATTCTATCTGACATATCTTCTGGCATTCCTTATTTTTATCTCCATATCTTCTGGCATTCTTCTGCATTCTATCTGGCATATCTCTGGCATATATTCCTGACATATCTTCTGGCATTCTATCTGGCATTCTATCTGGCATTCTATCTGGCATTATATTTGCACATATCTTCTGGCATATCTGGCTCTACCTGGCATTCTTTCTGACATTCTCTATCTGACATTTTACTTTCTTCCTACATGAGGTCCGGCAGGGAACACTTGGCGTGGATACTCGCGGTTGAGGTCCGGCAGGGAACACTTGGCATGGATACTCGCGGTTGAGGTCCGGCAGGGAACACTGGGCGTGGCTGGTCGTGGTTGAGGTCCGGCAGGGAACACTGGGCGTGGATGGGCGTGGTTGAGGTCCGGCAGAGAACACTGTGGATCGCGGGTCGCAGTTGGACGAGGACGACGAGGACGACGAGGACGACGAGGACGACAAGGACGACAAGGATGACAAGGAGGACGAGGAGGACGAGGAGGAGAGGAGGAGGAGGAGAGGAGGACGAGGCAGGAGGAGGAGGCAACTGACATAAAATCTAACAACCCTCACCTGGCAGGTGGGGAAATATATAAAAATATATAAAAATGAACTACTATATATATATATATATATCTATATAATTATCATGTGTATAGTAAGCTCCAAAAATAGGAACGGTTACCCAGCTGAAGTTTTAGGAACATTTTAAATGTCAATCTTTTTGCTGGGGCTGTTACAATGGTTATTAGTTGGACCCATCACCAAGTGACACAATATGGACGTGATGAAGACATTCGACCGATAAGTGGTGAGAAAGTGGTGAGAAAGTGGGAGTCATCCATTGCCGAAACATCCCTCTGGCTGAGGCTCAGGGGATCAATCAGGACACATCAGGACACCAGATATGAATTGGTGCCTTCACATGCACCCAGAACATTGCTCCGCCAGGGTCCTGTTGCCATCCTCCCAAGGGATGCTTCCAGGCGGCTGGCTGCATCCTCCACATCATCGAAGTTGTTCAAGGCACCAGCGGCATAGAAGGAGCCAGTCATGCATGGCTCGGCCACACATCGCTGATCGCTGGAGTATTGGGGTGGCCCATGATGGCAAAGATCCATGGAGTGGGTTGAACAGAAGATTTCGGGCCACTGGAGTTTTTGATGGTAATTATCCTACTTTGGAACAAAATCACAAAAGTGGAAGGATGAGTCTGAAGAACTGCAGAGGCAAACTAAAGAAGAATCCGTCTATTGCCAATGTTTGGATAGTTGACATGTACACGCCTTGCTCAGCTGGTGTCACATCATGCGCGGCCACAAGTTTTACTGAGGCTATCGTTGAGGGACTGAGTAAAGGTGTTATATGGTGTTATCAAACTGGCACAGATTGTTCGCCCAAATCCACAGGCTCATGAGCCCAACATGAATCTATGTCTGAGCAAAACATCTGCAGTCCACGGGCTCATGAAAGGCTTCCTCAGCTTCCAAACACGGCAGCCGTAGAAATGGAACGGAGGCTGACTTGACGCCCCCAACCCAAGCTGCAAAGTGTTTGGGTGCAGGAGTCAGTGGCACCGATTTCCGAAATACACTGGCAGCAAACCCTGGAAGCTGCAACCATGGCCATGTTGCCTTTGAAGTTTTGCTGCCTGAATAGTCAACTATCAGGTAGAGAAAAAACATCGGAATTTCGAGTGTCCACTGTGAAATCATATGTTGTTTTTTTCAAGGAAAGACTTATCTGATCTACCTTTCTGGTAAAGGACATGGATATGACATCGGTCTGATCCACCGCTTCATGTTCTCCTGTATCAGTGGTCACAAACTGAAGAAATCCCCCACTTTGAGTCTACCCAACCAGGGCCAAACATGGGCACAATATTTCCTCAAAATGGGTTCGATTTGTGAACGTTTAGTGATTCGTGACGAAGCATGATGGAGCTATATAGCCACGCCAACACATGTGGAAGTCAATTGGTTTCGCCATCCTATTTGTAGGATTTTGGGGGATGACATCATCAACTCTCTCACCGTTCCCTCAGCCCCTTCCAACCTACCCGCAGTGCCAGTCCTTTCGTCGATTTGTGACTGCGTACGTCGCAGGATGTCCAATCTTGCCGCCACCTGCACAACATCTCAATGATATATTTCCCTGTTTCAAAGCTGTTTCAAACCCCTGAAAAGTGCGGTTTACCGGCACCTTGACTTCTGGCAAAATGTTGTAGACCATCGTAAACATCAAAATCAGTAAACTCCCAAAAAATAGTTCGGAGTACTGGGCTCAGTATTCCTGGAACAGTTCACGTACGTAGAAAAGAAAAGATTGGGTTTACATAATGCAGAAGTAAGTAAGCCAATCGTCCTTTTGAAAAATCTTTTGATCCATTCCTCAATTAGATCTTGAAAACTGGGAGACATGTCACTTGGAATCGAAATGTTTAACCATATTCAGAGGACTTTCCAACAAACATTTTTTCAAGTGACTTCATTTCTGTTTTCTTACACAAATTTTGGTTCCTGTATATATATATATATGTATTGAGTAATATATTGAATATCTTGTTCACAGCTATGAATGAACTGTTTCACCCAGTAACATCTAAAAAAAAACTTCACCCAGTTCCCACCCCAGACCAAAGACATGTATTTCTTCTTGGCGAGGTTTCCCCAAAGGATCTGTCTGGTCAAACTGCATCAGGCAAGAGTTGCCATTCGAAAGATAAACAAAAATAGAACAGTTGAAAACGAGTCAAAACTTGCCATAGTCAAACTAGTCAAAGACATTGAGGCATGACCAGAAAATATAGTCATCAATCATCAACTGTCATTGGAATACACATCACTCTGGCCTCATCCGCTTGTAGGGCTGGAACACCAAGGACTTCGATGCAGAAATCCTCCAGATGACCCGGCAGAAGGCCCTGTGGCGAGCAGACGGGGGTCGCAAGGCTGGCAAATGGTTCCCCAATGCTCAGCGCCCATTTGATATCATTTCATGAGTTTCAATGCATGCACTGTCAGCATCATATTTTTTTTTCTCTCCTTCTCTCTCTCTCTCTCTGTTGTTTCTGTTGTCCTTAGCCATGATCATGGTCATTAGTTTCATTCTCATCATTGTTAGTTTTACACATGATTGATTCTACATGTGCCTGCATCGATCTGATCATCCATCTCTTGTCATACTATGGTTCTATGGTTGTTGAAAATGTTTGTAATTATATGTCCTTTCTCTCACTATAAATATTGTCATTATCATGTTTGCTTACAATTATTTGTATATATATATATATATTATGTTATACTCTCCGGTTATTTGACATTGCAAGGGACAATTTCCCCATATAGCTATTTTACGATGATTTACCACTAAAAAAAACATGATTTCCCTAAAGTATGTTAAATAACCAGACGGCACTGCCATTGCCGAACAGCCTCCAGTGAGGCGCAGCCAACTTCATCAGCACGCGGAACGTCATACCACCTGCTGGAACTTCGGCGAACCCTCATGGTTGATGGGGAGATATAGAGCCAGTATAATGCTCACTTAACATCACATGCTTCTAAATAATATAATATCATATTAGTACCGATAAGATATGACATGAACTGAAATCATTTCACATATGGTACATTATCAACTACTATCATATGCCATCTAATACCATATATATATATAATCAATACCATATACTAGCATGCGGTATAATGTGTCTATTAAAAAAATGTGTTCTCTGCATCTTGTGATGATGTCTGGTGGCGCCAGTCGCCAGTGTCCAATTCGCGATTCAGCAGGCATCAAAATATATGTCATGTCATAATTATCATCAAATGAAGTTAGATGTCTATACTCCGTTATATGGAAATTGCAAAACTGAAGAAAGTAGTCGCGAAGTCAAGAGAGTACAGATTTGAAGAGAGTAAAGAAGCGAAGATAGTAGAGAAGTGAAGTACTTATGGAAGTGAAGAGAGTATAGAGAAGTGAAGAAAGTATAGGGATGTGAAGAGAGTAGAAATGTTAAGACAGGGAAGTGAAGAGGGTAGAGATGTGAAGAGTGTAGGTATGTGAAGAGTCTGAGTCTTGGCTGACGTAGTTGCATTGTGATTTGCAAGGCCGTGATTGGACGCGTCACCTGGACGAAGCAATTCCACTGCTATCTGCAATCACCGCCTTGCAAATCACAATAGAAATGCGTCAACCAAGGCTGCAAACACGAACATGAAGCAGCCATTCCAATGCAATCTGTATACACGCGTGAATTCAGCTTTACAGAGGACACGTCCGAGATGAAAACGAACGAAGACCGCACCCGTCGCGACATTTTGGCTCTAATGATTTTGATCCAAGTCTTTCTATAAAAAATGCATCGACAATATTTTTTTCTGCTTTGGCGCCGAGCTCTGGTTTTGGAGCTGCAATTCCGGTGCTGTGTGCGTGAAAGCTTCTCCTTGCAAAAAGCTTCTTTCTGTAAAAGCTTGCTGTTATAACCACCACCACCACGGATGGTAGGTCGACGCGGTGGTCGCCTACTAATAAGAGAGCAGGGAAAGAAGTTTGTCATGAGAGAAGAGTGTGTCAGGTCTCGGGCTCCAGAGCTGTCAACAGTAAGGACTGTCAAGATTCAGAGATGACAAGCACAAACCGGATCGAGAGAAAAGGAAGTCGAGAGACGTCGAGAGAAAGAAATGCCAGGAAGAAAGATGCGTCCAAACAAACAGCGAGCAACAGAAAGGGCTGTCAAGATTCAAAGATGTCAAGGGCAAACCGGATTACTCGAGAGTGGCATCATCAGACAAGGATGTCAAGAGAGAGAGGGATATATCGAGGATTCCGAGAGATGACGCTGTTGACAGCCGTGACAACCAGGCGGTCAGGCCCCCGTCTGGAAACTTCCATCACATGGGCCCAAAAAAGGAAGAAGGCTAGTACGAGTACTATAGTAGTACTAACACAGAGTTTTTGCTTCAGGGTATAGGTTCAAGGTTATTTCACCAAGCTTTGCAACCGACGAGCATCGAACTGCAGTGTTTCAGGGTTCCAGGATTCCGTTCCGGTTTTGGGCTCGGCGAGCAAAAAAGAATCACCGTTCTCGGCCCCAGAAACCGAACCCCAACATGCAATGCTGTTGGAAAAAGCCAGTGCTTATATAAAGATAAACCTATGAGCAAGAAGAGGTTGAAGGTCATGATATCATATGATATCCATGAATGAACGGCAAATCTACACATGCGTCACTACGCTCACTCTTTGGAAGAATCGCCCTGCTGTGGCGGTGCTCATATAGCATCGCCTTCAGACTGATATCCGGGACTGTTACGGCAAGCCGAAGTTGGGGCACCCAACATGCAATCCACACTTCGTCGCCAGTTCTTCTTCTTCAAGACTTTTGGCTTTGCCTCTCACTCTTGGATGGATTCACACTGACTTGATATCTTAGTGCGAACTTCTGTGATTCACACTGGGCACTGTACCATATACAGTAAACCCGTATTTTGTAGGTATATTCGCTAACATAGCCCTTGCATAGGCCTTATGTATGGTAGATACCTCCAACTTAGATCAATTGAGGTATCTGAAATGGCCACTGATCTCATACAGGTTGCTTGATGATTGACAATATCTACATTCAGCAGCGATTTCCGGAAGGTTGTATGGCTTCGTGTTTCTTTTGGTGATCTGTGAGAATAATTATCATGGGAACCACCACAGAAGCCAATCATGCTAGGGGAAAACAATGGATGGCTTAAGTTTCAAAGACCAACCAGCAGTTCAGAAAAAAAACAACAAACAGATTCACCATGACCCTTCACAACAAAAAGAACGCTTAACAAACAATCGCGCACGGAATTGTCTTAACATTTAAAACATTTCAAGAACAACTCATCAAAGCACGGCAAATATGATGTTAATGTTCACTGGTTTCCTTCGGGAACACTCAGCACCAACCACCCAGAACCATGGCTATCAGCCAGCCTCGGCCATGGATGGGATCAGCAGCAGTGGCTCCTGGCGAGATACCAAATACCAGTGGTGGATGATGATGATGATGATGATGATGATGAACACTGTCACAACCAGTATAGTAAGTCCATGTAATTCATATGTCACTAGTCTTATCGCTTGTCTGTCTATATAATTCATCCTAGTCTTCAAAATGTGTTTTGTTTCGTTTCTTTCTTCCTCTCCGCTCTCATCCCCTTCAGCATCGAAACTTGACATATTCCAGGCAAATTCACTTCAACGTTTGCACCTCCTGAAAGTGAACCATTAGGTCAATGTCCGACATGTCCATGCCATAAACCTCCAAGCACAACGGACGTGTTCCCTCGGCCATGGGGATTCACTAGCCAAAGGATGGTGCAATGATGACCCGGGTGGTGGTAATTGGCAGCCTATGCAACGTTTCCAAGTGTCCATGTGCTTTGTTGTTTTACCTTCTGGTTATTTAACTTTGGCCCATTTACCGATGATTTACGATAATTTGCCTAGTAAACATAATCTAATCATATTGTGATTTTCCAGTTCGACATTGTAAATTACCAGAGGGATCCCCCATCGAATTTCAGAGGAGATGTTGTTCTGTATATAACAACAATTATTCACAAGCTTGGGGCTATAGAATGAGGTCGCTGAGCTCCATTTTTTCCCAAAATGGCCTTAGCTACAAAATGCCCCTTCGTTTCAACAACCTTGACATAGGGGAAATTTCCCTTGTTACACAATGCCACTTCGTTTTCAACAACTTCACATCCAAGGACATACCCTTTGCTACAAAATGCTTTGATTTTGATAAGCTCTGATGAAGCTCATCATGTCATGCTACAAAATGCCACTGCGATTTTAATGATGGGCTAACATGATTAAAATGATTCCTTTCTAAAATGACATTGACACGTTTAAGCTACAAAATCTTGGACCTGGGTTTCATGCCACGGTTAGCCTGACTAAAATGGAAGCCCCTGCAAGAGGCACAAGGCCACAAACTTTGTAGCTTAAATTTGTAAGGGGATCCAGAGGGAATATACCATTTTAGATTCATGGCACCCAAGTCTTGCAACTACACCTCTGGGAGATGCTGGACTTGATCATGGAAGAATGCAAGGCTAGACTGTCTAAAAGAACGAAGCAATCTAATCTCCGAAAACTCAGGATTCTGTGACAAGGCCTAAGCTCTTGGATATTTGGATGCTTTTTTCACATGGATCTCCTCTATCTGTTCCATCAAGATTCCGGGACCTCTTCCAGACTCGCATAGGCGGCACATGCCAAGGAGAAATCCCTCGAGGACTCCTGGATTTTGCGACGCTCGTCCCAGTGGGTTGGATCACTCCAGTTATAGGTCAGGTTATGTAATACATATATATATATAATATAATAAAATAAAATAAAATAACATATAATATATACATATATATATATTAACTATACACTATACGCTACTAGTAGGGCGATAAGGTCTCCGATACGTCATGTTTGTTGGTGATTGCATATAAATGTTGAAAATGGTGTTTTCCTTTTGGTAATTTGCACATTTTTGAGCATTGTGATTTGTCTTGCCAACTTGATGTTTGACGGACTTGTTTTTTGTTTTTTCGTCCGTTTAAGTTGAAGAACAAAATGTACACTTCATTGGTTCCTCTATCCGGGAACTGTTCATTATATATCCCTGTTTTTGTTTTCCGGTTTTTTGTTTTAACATATTCGTTTTTGTTTGGAAAATGTCCAAAATTCATTGGGGAATGCTAGTCAAAATGAGAGCGGGCCTTGTTGCATTGGTATTTGCAATATTTTGCAACATTGTGAGCCGAGCCGCATCTTGATAGTCAGAAGTTTGTCTTCTACCCATATTCCTTTGTTATTGTTGTGTGTCTGCAAGGTTTTGAATGGTTGATATTTCCTTGGTTTTATACGTTTTTTGTTTTGACATATTCATGTTTAAATGAACAAATAGTAAAATTTGTTGGGAAATGCCAATGAAGATGAAAGATTATTGCCAAAGTACGTAGCATCACACATTTACGCAAATGTACTTGAAGGTTATTGCCACACCCCACCCCACCCCATCCTACCCCATCAGAGAAGTCCGAGTCCCTCGGGTATATATATATATATATATATGTGTGTGTGTTATATAAGGTTATATAGGTTATCTGAAATATGTGCCACATGATATGGCTATACTGCTATACTATATGTAGACAGTGGGGAAATCTAAGGTGTTTGAACTAGTGTGTTCACTAGATTGGCTGAAGGGACAATTGAAGACTAAGATGGAAACCAATGGTTTTGTTACCGTTGTTCCCAAGAAAGAGCTTTCCCCATGCTCCCCCCGCAAAATCAGAGCAATGAAAGGAAATGATACAATTTGCAAAGCGACCCTTTGAGAATCCATTCTTTTAAACCCTGCTAAAATTTTGATTAAAACCCCAAAACAGTTGCTTAAATCCCCATGAATATCCATGAATCATACAATCACGATGATCATTCGAAAAGTTGCATAGTGGTCAATAGTGGTTGGTGTTTTTCTTCGCCACGGTTTCAAAATTAAACAAAACTGTTCCTCACCCCCCAGGAACCTGCTGCAATGAGCGTAGGGCATTCAGGGCCAGCTGGGTGCAAAGCTGCCTGGGCCGTCTGAGGTCACCAATTGAAGTTGTTTCGTGGAAGGGCCCTGCGGCAACCTGCGGCTTCCAAGGGGCCCTGCCTTCGAACCCCCAGCTGTGCAAAGTAGTCCCCAAGGCCTGGAAAGAAGCGGCCTGCCACAGGGTGCAATCTTCTAGTTGGACTCTATGAGCCAAATCAGCATATGAAACGATATCAAACATCTCACTATCATCTACACCCGTGAGATTTCAAGATTTCGGAACCCAACTCTCAGGATGCGCTGAGAAATGCACCTTCCTGATCATCACATTTGATACAGTACATTTAATCTTTCAGAGGACTGAAGGCATCCAACATCCCATTAAATTCCCATTGTATATAGATATATATAATATATAATATATATAATTTATATACATATATATAATGGGAATTTATGATAAAAAATTTAGTTTCTCAACGTTTGTCCTGATTAAATCCCAAAGTTTACTGCTAACACCTCCAGCAAACTGCTGGGGATTTGCTGGGTAGATCCCCATTTTGAAGACGGCCCCTACTCAGACCCTCCAAGTACCCATCACATGAAAAGTGCTCAAAAGTCCCAAGGTCATGTTTTTGTGTTGTCATTTTTTTAGGGTCCCAGTGCATCCTTTTCTCCGTTGAACCGTTGCGTCTATGCCATGGACGGAACGCTCCGGCGTTCGTCTATCTGACGGAGTTCCAACTCCACCAAATCCTTGCGGGGAGGTTTAAGCATCAGTGGGAATTCTAACATTTAATGGGATTCACAGAGATATATGACAATATATGATAATATATGATAATATATGATATATATATATATATAATTTATATAATATATAGACTCTCAAGCAATGGGTGTTGTAACTGTTAAGTTGCTAAGTCGTTAGCTGCAGGGCCCAACATGTGTTTTGACTCAGTGCCCGAGGGTCTAGGATGCAACAAGTGTTTTGAAACTTGCCGACTAGGACTAAAACACATGTTTGGGAAATCCTTGGAAATCCAGTAAATCCAGCGGGTGTCAATCTAGACGTGCCCTTTTTCCCTACTTGTGCCACCCCTGGAGATTTGTCAGCAACAATTTCTCCGCAATTTTTCATTGAGTTTTAAAATTTCACCAAGTTTTTACCAAGGTTGTGACATTTCATCAGGTTGTCACCAGGTTGTGAAAATTCACAAGGTTTTCATCAAGTTTTCACCAGGTTTTCACGAGGCTTTTTCAAACAGTTTTTCACCAGGCTGCACTCGGTTTTCAAACAGATTTCGACCGCTTTTTTGACCAGATTTTCACCAAGTTTTCACCAGGTTTTTACCAGGTTTTGAAAATTCACCAAGTTTTTACCAAGTTTTCATTATGTTTTTACCGAGTTTTCACCAGGTTTTCACCAAGTCTTCGCCAGGTTTTCACCAGGTTTTCAAAATTCACCAGGTTTTCACCAAGTTTTCAGCGAGTTTTCACCAGGTTTTCAACAAGTTTTCACCAGGTTTTCACCAGGTTTTCACCAAGTTTTCAGCGAGTTTTCACCAAGTTTTCACCAAGTTTTCACCAGGTTTTCACCAAGTTTTCACCGAGTTTTCACCAGCTTTTCACCAAGTTTTCACCAGGTTTTCACCAAGTTTTCACCTGGTTTTGAAAATTCATCAGGTTTTCACCAGGTTTTGAAAATTCACCAAGTTTTCACCAGGTTTTCACCAGGTTTTGGTCCAATGAGATTTTCGATCCATTTTCACCATGAAAACACATAATTTTCACCAAAAAGTAGGCTCAAAACACTTCTTTTGGTGAATTTGGAACCTGTAAAACACTTCTTCGTGTTCACAACAAAGAAATCACCAGGTTTTCACCAAGTTTTGAAAATTCACCAGGT